AATTGATAATTTTGTAATTAAAAGTGATATTTTTAGGCGATTTGTAAGAATATTCTTAAAAAATTATGCGGCTGCATGCATGTATTTTCTAGTATTGTTTTGTTGTTTGCTTTTAGTTTTAAGAACATTTTAAAACGTTTTAATAACAAAGATTTTGTAAATTTCAAAAGCTTTCTGAGAGCAAAAAACTCAGAGTTTACCGATAATACAATAAGAGACCGTTTAGTTTTAAGAACATTTCAAAACGTTTTGCGAAGCGTTTGTAGTTGAAATTTACATTAAATTGAAGCTTATATTACGTATAATAACATACCCAGCAAATATATGTTTGGGATATTGATAATTTTGTTATTAAAAGTGATATATTGGGGGGGAGGCGGGTATTTTTCAATTTTAAAACTATTCTTAAAATTATCGTGTTACCACGACAAAAACAAGTGGGAAATTTGTCTGAGCATGCGCGAGTAAAATGAGCCACGCAATTGCGTGGAATACACGCAACGCGTGTTTACAAAAAGGCACAATCGTGTAAATATTGCCAAATGTTTGTCCAAAATAAATGACTGTTTTATGTTGAAAGAGTGGACATGATCTAAATTAATCATACAGAATTTTTTAGTGACGTTCTATTTCAGTACCCTGCCATTGTCTCTGGTGGGCTGTCCGTGTGCATTCGATCTGAAACAGTTGCTACTTTGCTGTCGAAGAATTTCGAATGTTTACATGAAAATAGAGGCAAGTCATGCATTTTACAACCTCTCAAACTGTATGAGCTCCTATTTTTACGCTTATACCTAAGATATCAAATAAAAGTACATGAAACAGAGAACATTTGTAGAAAGTTTTATCGTGAGACCACGGCCAGTTTTTAAAATATCTTTATTTCTGTTCCGGTCATCACCAAAATTACACAAAAGCCGGGCTTGAATATACAACAAATTTTGAATCTCATCAAGCACAAAAATACTTAACGTGTAACCAAAATATTCTCATGAAATCGAAATTAATAGCTAAATTTTCAAACTAGACCCTTCTCGAAGCGGTTTTCATGAAGGAAGTTAACATTTCGGCCTTTGATTCTTGGCAAAAATTTGACCACAACACGTGCGAAGCAACTGGGTCTCAAAGACTGAACTAAAACATTGTGAGCCCCTATTTTCCTGACGATATGTTTGATACCTACAAACGCCGAAAGGTTTTTTCTTTTCATTTAACTATATTTGAAATTGAGGCCACGGGCTATTTTTGAGAAAATACAGTTCAAAGTCAAGCTATTTTTACACATTTTCAAAATTTGTCAAATTTCACGAGCTTGTATTTTGAACTTAGACAGCTGAAGTTACATTAAGAAACATAGGATGGAAAATTTGAGGCATATAAAGTTAATTTCAACTTACATTTCATTCTCAAATCACGTCTTTCTTCGTTTATTACGGTTTTAAACAAGCCATAGATCGACGTATACGGTATTTACTCCCATGTTCACGTCGCCATATTAACTTCTTCCAATATCACGCGATTACAAAACAATCATCCCAAAACAAAGAATTCATGATCGACTTTTAAAAGAATAACCAATAATTTGTAAATCGTTGAATGGAAAGCAAAAAATCGTCAGCTAAAACAGCTTCTTGCTAACTTTCTGCTTTGTTTTGAATGTAAATGCAATGAGCTTTGTTTCTGCCCGCATTTTTTTGGTCAGCGACGACAAATTTCCCACCTGTTCACGACAACTACTTTCAATTCTTCATATTCAGAAAACATAATGTTTTGTCAGTAAGGCGAGGGTTTCTGCATGCATGTATTTTCTAGTATTGTATTGAGCGGCATAGTTGGAAAATACAAACAAAATAGTAAATATTAATAAACCTGAACAGACAGGTGCAGTTTTATCATTACAAAAAAGTATTTCGTCGACGCCATGTTTACATAATAGAGAGTTTACACATGTACGACGGCGGCGTCAGGACGACGGCTAAACAAACTTTTTGAAATAAATAATTGTATGAAAATGTTGTCCTGTAGTTACTTTCTTATGAATTTAATAGAGTTTAGAACGACTAAAACAGAGCTTTAACCTTCAGAGCAATTTTGATCAACGCTGTTAGAAACATCGCCTGCCACGGCTTGAAATGCTAGCGTACTTTACAAGACGTTAAAATATGCATTTTGCCGTCGTCAAGAGAGCATGGAGGACGTCTGAATCTCCAGATACACTTTTAATTATTCATTTCTTTTGTGCTATAGGATTAATAATATTGTATTGATAGCCGTCGTCCTGATGCTGCCGTCTTACATGCGTAAACTCCCTAATGTCATCCCACCAATCGAGGCGGGATATTTGGTGGGTTAAAAACAGTCATACCAGAAAATACTTGCATGCAGAAACCCTCGATTGCTGACAAAACCATTATATTTTCCTAACATGAAGTATTTAAAGTAGTTGTCATTGTAACACGATAATTTTATTAAGATTATTTTTAATATTGACAAATCTCCTAAACATATCACTTTTAAAGGTAGGTTACAGTCCCTTCTGTCATTTCTGTGATTGTTTTTGGCTGGGGACTCCACCGGAAGTTGGCATCTCGGTTTATCCTCTGTCCAGTCTCATTTTTGACAATAATACGCGCGTTGCATTTAATTGTTTTTACCATTTCTGTCTGCGTTTCCTCATGATATACCTACATCCTCAAGCTTCTACTAAAGGTTTTCAAGAAAAGAATCCAAGAAAGATTGGGCATTTCACCCAACATAGCTGCTATTCACTCCCTTCATTGACATTGTGGATCCTTCGGTGAAATCGCTTGTTGAAACCCATCAATTGAGGTTTTAATTACTATACTAGAAATACATATGCATGCAACAACCCCTCGCCTATATCGCCTATATTCTCCAAACATTGTTTTAACATGAAGTATTCGTAAATACGCCAACACTGAACGCAGGCTCGCGTTGCACGTCATGTTAGTCATGCCAACACGATAATTTTTAAAATTTTGTTTTGTACAAACCTCACTGAAACCTGCAAAAAGTAGATGAAATTGAACACTTTTAAATACAGAAGTATCAATTTCTAAAATATATAGAGTAGGTGTATTATTTTGGTTTCTGTGGGCTTTATTTTAATGTGAAATTCGAAACGAAACTAGTATTAAAAACGTTTTTAAATGTGAATTGAAATTAACGGCTTTTTGCCGATATTAATCTCTTCAACTTATTACTCGCACTTTGAAATGAAATAAATTTAATTCGTACAGGACGCTGATGAAAATAACTTGCTTTCCTTTTTATCATGAATTTCTACAAAATTTAATTTAACTAAGAAACTTTCGCATACAACGGCATAGGAAAGACTTGAACAACAAGAACAAAGTCTATATTAATAATACAAAGTCATGCATACATAAACAATTGAAACAAATTTCCCCTATACTTTAAAATTTATCATACTAAAACAATTCTTAGTTAATGTTTACCTTTAAAAATTGAAGAAAAGTTTTACAATTTGTTATGTGAAACGATTTTCCAAGCTTTCTTACATATATATTTTAAAGTTTCCCGTTCTTCACTCCTGGCAAACAGCCATATTTTGAGATCAGTGAGATGACCACCCATACACCCATGAACCGCGCCTGCGATATTTGCTGAACTTTAGACTTCGCTAGTGCGATCCTTTTCCCGGGTGTAAACAGCCGGAGGGAATTAGTACCCTCGCACGGCGATTCGCGCCGTCGGTTCGGGGAAAATTCTCTTTATTTATAGTTTACTATTTTAATACACTATCGTTACATACGAACTGTTCTATCTCTTTTATTTACAAACTGAAACCCATGATATAATTAAGGCCTAAAGATACGATACTCCTGAGTAGGAGTTGTCAATGAAAAAGTGTTAATGAGCAATTTGTAGTCAACATGTCTTGGATGCAGGGGCGTAGCCAAGGGGAGCAGGGGCAAGGGGCGGTCGCTATCGTTTGAGAAACCATTTTTCTAAAACGTTGAAATCCGGTTAGAAAATTGGGGGGGGGGGGTTATCTCATGGTAAAAGAAGACCAGTAAGCCAGAAAAAATGGGGAGAAAACTACTGAGTTAATTTATATCTTTTGGGAAAATTTAGCACGCAAGTACGTGAATAAAGTACGTATATCGGAAATGGCTTAATTTTTTATGTGGTTGAAAAACTAGGTATTAGGCTTACATCAAGTTCCATGCTGTTTTAATTGCAAAATCAAAATGGCGGAAGTTCCTTCAGATCTGATGAATTATTCATATGATCCTTCCGCTCCATTGCCTACAGGGAAAGAATCGAGAGATCACGTAATAAGCAAAGGGCCATGCCAGCCAAAGAATATTTCTTTTCCGGAAGACAAGCGAAAACGAAAATTCTCATCATCTCATTCGCATCTTGGTACGATAAATTTAAGTGGCTGGAATATTCAGCGGCTAAGAATAAAGCATTTTGTTTCTATTGTAGAGTCTTTAATTCCCAGGTATTAAAACGTTTAGTACATTAGTGATCGTGTATTATAAGTTGTTTAGCTGAATTTGTCAATGTATGACATTAGTTTCCAAACATTCTCATTTTTTCAAATGGGGAAAAATAATCTACTCAGTTTGTCTATAAATAGCTGCATGGCTATATATAATGTGTTTAGGTTGCATCAAAAGGTGACCCAGCCTTCATAAAGGTTGGATTTGGAAATTGGAAGAAAAGCGAAGTTTTCTCGAAGCATGAAAAATCAGATTGCCATCGGCATTCCAGCCAAGCATATCGTCAATGGAAATATCAAAAACCAGTGGATCACCAAATTAGTGAAGAAGCGGCGAAGCAAGAATCGTATCGCCAGCAATTGGTTAGACATGCAAGAGATGTATAAATATTTGTACAAACATGTTTACCTGATATTTCAAACTTAAAGGCCTGACGTACTACTTTCTCGATTAAGATATTGACATGTTGCACATGAATTATGTTTTAGGTGAGAACAAATAGAAGTGTCATTGGCCAGAGAAGATAGGGAGATCCACTCCTTTAAGTCTAATGGGAGAAAATGTCTGTCTCTGTTCTTTGTTTTCATTGGGTAGCTCTGAATGTTTTTCTATGTGACGGTTAATAAGGAAGTTCTGTACTGTATCATTATCCGATACTTGCGATCTTCGTTCGGCTTCTTCAGCCCGGGATTTGTTGAGAGCAGCAACTTTCCTTGCATCATCGGTTCGCTGTTTTGTCAGCTGAAGCTCAGCGGTCAGCTTTTGGATCTCTAGCTCCTTTACTCGATGTTCGTTTTCCATTTGGATTAGCCTTTCACTAGCCTCCTTTGCCTCTTTTTGTTTCTGTTTCACATTTGAGGATTTTTTCGACATAACTGGAGACTGGGGACTAGTTTCTTGTGATCGAAGTGAAGTTAACACTGAGGCAGTTTCTCCATTGCCAAGTCTTTCCTCGAGATGTTGTTCAGCCATTACAATTATTGAATCGACTGAAGACCCGATGTCTTCAAATTCTTTGTCTAAAGTCTCGATAACTGTGTTGGTCTCCTCATTTTCAGCACTCACAGCATAAATCTCTTTTAAGCCAGAAATAATTTTTTCAATAATACTGATCTCGGAATTAACTTTATTAATAGCTCTTCTTATGGCATTTTTAGTCGGCAATGGTACACCAGGAAGTTGTTTTTCAATTAGGTCGTTCAATTGTTTCTTAGCTTTTGTCAGCCTGGTTTTAGCCGATTTCTTACTACATCGTAAAGTTTGAATCTTGGTACTCACTTGTTTGCTTTCTATATTCAATGTATATTCTTCTTTTTTACTTTCGTGGTCGGCGAGATGAACATTTTGAATACTGTTTACAGCTTCAACACCTTGGTCTGTCTCTTCTCCCGGCAAGTCTTGTTGTTGTCCACTCGTTCTAAGCGCCATATTTGCTCGCACATTCACAACAAAAGCCGCGAATTTCTCGTTCTTTTGTCAGCAGATCCGGCTGTCGAAGGACCAAACTTGTTCCCGATTAATTGAACTGTCTATAAAATGTCTACACGAGATAATTCGCCACTTTATTCCGAGTCTTTAAACACAAAAATAGCCTAAATATTGTGACACTTTTTGTAGTCGAAAAATATAAACTAGAACGTTCAAACTACATTTTTGTCGCCCGCGCGACTATTTCAGCGGTCATGATAACAAGTACTTCATATAATAATATCGTTCGTTAACATACGTTAAAAAAGAAAGATTCGCTGATGTAAATCAAAATTTCATCAGTGTTTCCTAGGCATTCTGATGAGCTCTGATATAGGGCGAAACAAGCATATATTGAGGAATTGCCCTCCGTCTTGAAAAGACATGATGAACTAACGTGATCACCAGACTGACCAGAATTGTTGAAGTTAATATTAGATTATTCAGTATCACAAGAATATCATCATTTAGTGTCAATATGAGAGTATTAAATATCAATGAATTCGTACTTCCTGTTCATAACTTCAAAACATGCATTTTTATAACACAGAGAAGTTAGATAGATAGATAGATAGATAGATAGATTTAATAAAATACTTCGCAGCCATAGGCTGAATTGCGTATATTTTTTTTTACAAGTAAATTTAACTAATTACGAGAATATAAAAGAAGAGTTTATCAAGCCATTATGATGACATTCCATATAAATATTATATATACAAGATGTTTATTACTTTAATATACTAAAAAATTTAAAATTATTAAAAATATTAGGTCATTTCAATAGCATTAGATAAATGATTTGCGGCACGAAGCCACAAAAAAACTAGTTTGAATACGATTAGTGTTACATCTAGGAATTTCAAATTTCCTATCGTTTCTTAAATCATAAAAAGAAGTATGTATAGGTGGCAGTAAACTTCGTAACTTATGATTTTCATCAGCGACTACTGTTTGAAATAAACTAGTACAAATATTTTCATGATGAACAGACAGTGACTCCAATCCACAACTAATTAAAGCGTCTTCATAATTAGTGTTTGGACAGATGATTCTAATAGCTCTTTTTTGTAATCTTTCCAATTCGGAACGCAAGTATTTTGGCAACGAATAGTAAATGACAGGGATACCATAGTCGATAACAGATCGAATACATGTAACATAAAATAGAACCAGATCATTCCGAGGAATACTGGCCCGTTTGAGTTGGATCAGGTAATAGATTCGTTTGGATACTTTCTTAACTACCTCTTCGATATGTAGATTCCACGTCAGGTTATTATCGAATGACAAGCCCAGAAGTTTAACGGATTTTACGACTTTAATAC